CCTCCCTCCCTCCCCCCACCCTTCCTTCTTTATCAAAGCTGAGACTTTTAGCTGTGGGATTCCACACTTCACCCCATTGCCAGCATACCTGTGCCCTTACCACCACCTCCCCCAACACACACGCACACATGCACACACGCACGCACACACACGAGCTCTCGCACACACGCTCCTCCTGGCTTCCGCAGGCCTGAGCCCTCCCACCGTAGGGGAGAGCTAACTTTCCTCCCTCTTCCTTTCCCAGGTCCCAAAGGAGGTACAGAAGCTGTGGAGCTTGGTTCTGGACATGCATTCACCCCATCTCCTTTTTCATGTGGACAGGCAAGGGGTGGGATTCAAAGGGCTCTGGGGACCACTGAGCTAGGAGTCTAGCCAGGGTGGGATTCAACGAAGGAAGAACCCCTGCCAAGGTTACCTGCCAGTTGGGCAGTGCCTCCCCAAAGCTCCACCCAGCTAGACTTCACCTTGGGGATCCCCCTGGCCCTGCCCTCCTGTTCCTGCCCTGCACCCAGCCCCAGGGTGCCTGTAGTTGCAGAACATAAAGGATATCCACTTGAAGAAGGACTTCTTCGTGAAGTATCAGGACCATGGCTTCTCAGAGATCTTCATCAACTCCCGGGAGGTGAGCAGCCATCTCCGACTGCCACCGGGGGAATATATCATCATTCCTTCAACCTTTGAGCCCCACCTGGATGCCGACTTCCTTCTCCGGGTCTTCACAGAGAAGCACAGCGAGTCCTGGTGAGGGCCCCCCCTCTCTGCTCCAAGGGCTCCTGCCCAAGAGCTTTCAGATGCCACGTTCAGGGAGCAGTTATCTGGCCCGCCCCCAACTCCACTTTTTTTTTTTTAAAGATTATTTATTTATGCATATAGAAGTGAGGTACAGGCCAGAGATGCAGGGGGTGAGAGGACCCACCAGAGACAGAGTTGGGAGCAGAACAGACTGACTGAAAAAGTACACTGCTGAGGGGAGCAGCGGGCGGGTCAGGAGAGGTCTGCCATGCCATGTGGTCACCTCCGGGGCAGGCAGGGATCGAACTCATGCGGAAGTGGCTTTAGCTTCTTAGTGCTGTGCTTTAACCCGCTGCACCACCAGGGTGGGTCCTCCACTCCTACTTTACAGTTAGGGAAACTGAGGCCCAAGGAGAGAAAATGACAGTTAGTGGCAGAGCCAGAACTAGAACCCCAACCCCAGTACGGCACCTGGGCCATGCTGCTTCACGCATGGCGTGACTTCCCCGCCACCCACCCCTGTCTCCCTGACCCCTGGTAACCGCTGCGGCCCTCCTTCACTTTTGACCAGGGAACTGGATGAAGCCAACTATGCAGAGCAGCTCCAAGAGGTGAGGGGAGGCTGTGGGACTGAAGGGTCTAAGGAAGAATGGGGAGGAGGGTGTGTGAAGAACTTTCTGGGCCCCTCTCCCACGCCTTTCCCTCCAGGAGAGCATCTCTGAAGATGCCCTTGACCAGGACATCACAAATCTGTATAAGATAGTGGCTGGAGGAGAGGTGAGCATCTGGGGGCTGGGGTGGCCTGGTGGAGGTAGACGGGAGCCCAGGGCCAGAGCAGGACTTACAGTCTCCCTCTCTAGGACCGGGAGATAGGCATATGTGAGCTACAAAAACTACTCAACAAGATGGCCTCCAGATGTGAGTCTTCCACTCCCCAACTCACAACCCTTCCCCCATCACCTGTGCCCCACCTTGACCCGCACAGTGACCTCCACAACACCTGGCTCACTCTCTTTCTTCCTACTCTTCCTTCCAGTCAAGGTCCTCAAGACCAAGGGCTTTGGCCTGGACGTGTGCCGCTGTATGATCAACCTCATGGACGTATCTTCCTGCCCAGTGGGCAGCCCTGTCCAGTGCCCGCCACCCCCGCCACCCCCGCAACCCCAAGCCGGCCCCAAGGTGGCTGTCTCTCTGATCAGCCATCTTCCTGCCAGAGATTTAGGCTCTGGGGTGGCAGAAGGTGCCAATTCTTTTGGCCATTACCATAATTACTCCACAGAACTCCCTAGTCGGGAGGCTCCCCTTCAGTGAGCCCCTCTGCTTCCCTGGCCCCAGATACCCTCTTTCACCCCGCCTCTGATATCCTTGACCACCTCCCAGAAAAATGGCTCTGGCAAACTGGGGCTTCTGGAGTTCCAGATCCTGTGGAAAAAAATCAAGAAGTGGACGGTAAAGGATATTGGAAGGGCAATTTAGAGGGGTAAGAAAGGAAAGTCCCCAAGAAAAAGCAGGGGTAAGTCAGGATGAAAATGGAAGAGGCGCCCCTGACTAGACAGACGCGCCCAGTGCGTGCACACCCAGACTACGTGCGTGGGCCTCAGCACAAGCGTGCGCACGCCCGCACAGCAGGCCGGGGCCTACAGGGGCGCTGGTATGTGAGCAGGTCACAGCACACTTAATACCAGTGCCGCCCAGGCCAGCACAAAGGACGAATGTGGGGAGCCCAGGGCTGGGCGCCAGAGTCTCTCTTCCAAGCCTGGAGTGAACTGTCGCTAGGTGATAAGAATAGCGAGAGCTTGGGCTGGGCCAGAGTAGGACGCCCGGGGTCTTGCGTGAGTCAACTCTGCTGAAGTATCACTTCAACCACCCTGCCACACACTCGGCCCTGCAGGACATCTTCAAAGAGTGTGACGAGGACCATTCGGGCACCTTGAACGCCTATGAGATGCGCTTGGCAATTGAGAAAGCAGGTGGCCAGGGCCGGCGAGGAGCAGGAGGGCTGGGGCAGGGACCGAGGGGGCAGCAGCCAGAGAGCTGGGTCTTGCCCCCCCCACCCCCAGCTCTTCTCTCCCTCTCAGGTATCAAGGTGAATAACAAGGTGATGCAGGTGCTGGTGGCCAGGTACGCCAATGACAACATGATCTTGGATTTTGACGACTTCATCACCTGTTTCCTGAGGCTGAAGGCTATGTTCGGTGAGCCGGGCATGGGGACCACTGGTCTTTCCCCATATACCTCCCTGGGGAGCGCTGCTTCAGCGCCCCCTCCCCATTTCCTGGGCTCACACCCCAGTTCCCCTACTTGCTGGCCCTATGCCTGGAGCAGGTCACCTTCTCTTTTTGAACCTCTATCCCCTTGACTGCTTAGTATGGATGATGACAGTACTGTCCTCAGAGGACAGAGCTGCAGATTAAATGCTGCTTTCTGAAGAGCCCTCGGACCGGGGCCTGGCTCACAGTAAGGCTGTGTGACTCATGAATTCCCTGCTGGGCCCAGCTGTGGTTAGCTGGGAGCATGAGAGATGAGCTTCTTGGCCCTTTCTGACCCCTGCCCCTTCGGGAGAGGGTCCTTCAAACTGCTGACGGTCTCATTTCCACTCCCCCAAACAGCCTACTTTCTAACTATGGACCCCAAAAATACTGGCTATATTCACTTGAACCTGAACCAGGTATGTCAACGGATTCCTTGGGCCCCTCCAGGAGTCCAGCCCAGGCCTGAGGCCCGGGCCATCCTGCCCCTCCCCTACCTCTGCCCTTCTCGGACCTGCTGCTTCTCTGTCCCCAGTGGCTGCAGATCACCATGTGGGGCTAGACGGCCCCGGGCCCTGGCTCCCGGCTCGGCCCCATGTGATCCAAGGGTCTCATGTGATCCTTGCTGCTGTCAGCTCTGTGGTCTCTGCTGGTGGCAGCATCTGGTCGCAAACACCATGACTACAGTAGCAGCACCTCCCTGCCCATGTTCCCAGCTTAAAGCTTTTCTGTTTTTCCGGCAGCCCCCACCAGGCTCTCTTCCCCTCTGAGTATATTTTACTAATGATTAAGTGACACTTTCCTAGAGTCCCCTGACTGGGGAAGCTCTGTGCTTTCTGCCCGGTTCACACCTGCCTGCTGGCCACCTCTCCTGGCACAGCCCTTCTCTCCCTCACTGGGGGCATGTTATAATAAACAGCACTCGCCACTGACTTCTGTGTTTCTGTTTTTAGGGCAGAAAGAGGAGTGGAGGGCGGGCAGGGGCTCTCAGGGTGCATTTGGAGAAGTGGGGGGGGGTCACGAAAACTACAAGGCACTGTTGGCATTTGTGGTCAGCGCCATGGGTGCCAAGAACACATTTGGTAGAGGTATGTGATCACGGAGCAGCAAGAGAGAAAGAACAAGCCTCGGCCATCGACCTGTCACTGCTGAGCCGGGAAAAGTGAGGGGCCATGGGGCCTGAACCCCTCTTTCATCTCCTGTTGGGTTCTCCAAAGATGACTCTGCAGATATCTTTTTTTTTTTCCAGATATCTTTTTTTTAAGATACAAGAACTGGGGTACAGGCCAGAGGTGCAGCAAGATGGGGGGTGGGAGAGGATTCACCAGAGACAGAGTGGGGAGCAGAAGAGGCAGATCTGGTGAAATACACTGCTGAGGGGAGCAGCAGGCAAGACAGGAGCGGTCTGCTGAGCCATGTGGGTCGCCTCACTGGCCAGGGATTGAACCCAGGCCTCAGTGGCTGCGGATAGCTTCATAGTGCTGTACTTTAACTCACCACCAGGGAGGCCCCAGCAGACATCTGGAAAGTCAAAATTCCAACACCTGCAGAATTCCAACACCAAAGTATGAATGAAGAAGCTGGGAGTGGTAAGGACTTCAGCAGTAGTGAACTCATTTTCCTACCATGTCCAGATTTAAATCATTATTATTGTTATAAATCTGCTCCCTGTCCAATGATTGCCACCCCCCCCCAAGGACCTGTGGATCCTGGTCCACCAGTTCTTGGCTTTGGAGCTTGGCGTCTCCTCCCCACCCACTCTCCTGCTGAAATACCTCCAGCGTCCCCCTCCACAGCCACTGTGTCGGAGACTCTTTGTCCCCAATCACAGGTTATTGGGGGGCAGAACAGGCAGGGTCTCAAGGTGGGAGCGGCGTCATTGAGCGGAGATTCCTAAAAAAAAGGGGGGAAAGGGGAGCAGGCATGAAGAAGACACAGAATCGGAGTTGGGTGCAAGTCTTCCTGCTCTGCCTTCAGCAGAGGTTTATTTTATACATTTCAAGCAAGCAGTGGGATGACATTAGCATATGAATTGGGCTGAGATCACGATCACCTTTTTTTCTAAGAATAGTATGAGGTCGGTTTGACCTTTAGTTGAGATTATAACATTATTTTAAAAATCAATCTATTAAGGTTAAAACAGGTACATAGATTTATAAAATTTAAGACTAATATTACTATATTTACCACAGTAAGATTTAACCAAAATAAAGTCCCTTTTTAACCTTATTTATTGCTTTTTGGCTTTCATTTTCATTGAGATATCCTAGGGGGTAAAGTGAGGGCAGGAAGAAGAAATCACAAAAGGAAATACAGTAAAGTTCTTTAAAGACTAGTTAGAAAGTTTAAGTGAATTTCCTTGAAGTCCAGTCGAAAACTTAATTAGCTCTGAATAAGAGATTTGGGTGAATTTTTTTCTCTAAAGACTAGAGAGTAGGATCCTGAAAAACTAGTTAGAAAGCTTAAGTGAATTTCCTTGAAGTCTAGGCAGTAGAAAACCTGATTAGCTCTGAAGAGCAGACTTGGGTTAATTTCCATATCTAAAGACTAGATAGTGGAAAGTTTAATTAGTTCTTTAGAAACTGAATAGAAGGCTTTGTGAAATAGTAGAGGGATGAGATTTGGGTTCTAGTCTGTCTGCAGTAAAAGAATATGTTTTAGTACTGCCTCAATATTAACTTTGCTATAACAGACAATTGCTTTTATTAATCAGCCAATTAATTGCAAGATCACTTTTGACTTCAAGAGGAATTTCTTGCCCTGGCGCTGTGCTTGTCTGCCTGGGCCAGGCAGCGCCTTATGAGGCTAAGCAACCCAGTTGTAAACTGAAGGTTGCTCAGAATTTTTTAATATTATGATTATACAAAAAAGGGAGGTCATAATGTAACAGGTACAGGTTTCATGGACTCCGCCCGCACTCCAGATGCTGGAACTACTAATCCCATCAATAACAAGGAGAAGCACGCCGGGACGTGAGGGTGGAGCTGAGCAGCCAGGTTGGGATAAAACTGGACATGCGGGCTCTGGGGGTCTCTTGGCCTGGTGGTTCGCGGCTGATCATTTTGGCTCTTGATCGGTTTTCAGCGTGCCGGTGGAGTCCAAGTCAGCAGAACTGGTAGGACATCCCAGTTAACCTGTGTTTCTCTCCCTCTTTCCCTGGGTTATTCCTTTACCTTTCTCCTTATAAATAAATCCATTATTTAGCCTTTTTGAGTGTGTCCATAATACAATTGGATCGTAAGCACGCAGGTGAAGACCCACAGACAGGCAACCCAATCCACATTGGGGTGCCCTGTAACAATAACATAAGTTAGCGTGGAAAGTCTGATTCTTCAGAGCATTTCCCCTCCATCCATACCGTGTCTGGCGGCAGAAGTTGCACAGCTTGAGTCACCACGGCACTTCCCCATCCTTCCATGTCTCTGTAGCTTCCCCTTTTGGTCCAACTTCTCATATACTGTGACCTGGGAAAGCAAACTTTCAGCCTGTTCTTTTTTTTTTTTTTTTTTAAGATGTATTTATTTGTGTATACAGAACTGGGGTCCAAGCCAGAGCTGCAGGGGCAATGAGAGGATTCACCAGAGACAGAGTGGGGAGCAGAACAGGCAGATCAACGAAGTACACTGCTGAGGGGAGCAGCAGGCAGGCCAGGAGAGGTCTGCCGCGCCATGTGGGTCAGCTCTGGGGCGGGGATCAAACTCACACTGAAGAGGCTGCAGCTCGCTTGCAGTGCCATGTCTGACCCATTGCACCACCAGGGAGGGCCCCAACCTGTTCTTAATTCCCACAGAGGGGGAAAAAAATTCCCTTAGATAAGAGACCTGTCAACCTCAAATTACTAAATTACCTGGAGTACAAGTTTCCTCCCACAGTAGTGCCCTGAGGCTTCTTTCTATTTGCACTAAAACCACCTATCCCTTTTACATTTCTTTTAAAGATTTATCTATTTATACATACAAGGACTGGGGTACAGGCCAGAGGTGGGGGGCGTGTGAGAGGCTTTACCAGAGACAGAGTGGGGAGCAGAACAGGTGGATCTACAGAAATATTGTAGATGAGGGGAGCATGCTGAGGGGAGCAGCTGGTGATTCAGGAGAGGTCTGCTGCACCACGTGGGTCAGCTCCCTGGCCGGGGATCAAACTTATGCTGCAGTGGCTTCAGATAGCTTCACAGTGCTGAGCTTTAACCTGTTGCACCACCAGGGAGGTCCCCCATCTTATACTTAGTAGGGGTTTGGAGAATCCTGATCCTCCTGAGTTGGTGATTGCTTTTCAGCACTAGTCCTGTTCCCCCACAGCTTGTGACTGCAAACATTAAACTGAGTCAATCCTCCCTACAGAGGACTATAGGGAGCTCTACAGCTCTAAACCCGCTTTCCTGCTCTCCCTTCCTCTCCCCTCTTGAGAAAGGCCATGGTCCCTGAAGGAGTCTCTTATAGACTTCCTCTCCTGAGCTCCTCACTGGACCCCTCTTCTCCAAGGAACTGCTCTCTTTGGAGCAAAGAGCCCTGGGAGCAGGACAGGGAAACCCCAAAACCACAAGTCCATAATTCTTTTGAACAGTCCTGGGCAGGACCCTCCCGGGTGGCATAACTGCTTAGGATGCAGCACTGTAAGCTGACCACAGCCACTTCAGTGCGAGTTTTAACCCTGGCCCTAGAGCTGACCCACATGGCATGGCAGCCCACTGAACTGCCCACTGCTCCTCTCAGCAATGTACTTCATCAGTCTGCCTGTTCTGCTCCCCACTCTGTCTGTGGTGAATCTTCTCACTGTCGGGGACCAGCCCCAAATTTTGTTTCGGGTCCTGAAGAGGGTGGAGAAAGCGTCGGCTCTGAGGTTCTGTAAGAGAGAAAAATGAGAGACAGCACACTCCAAAGCTTGGAGAAACTGCTCCGTTTATTGCCCAGACAGCAGGGTTTTTATATGTTAAAATTTGGCATTATTATTTGATACCCATCACGTCCACATTTTTTAATCAGACAGAAGAACAATATGAAGCATTGCATGATTAATTACATTTCTGGGAAAGAAAGCGACACTTTACAGTCAAATTTACTATATCAAAGTACTAATTTATAATTAATCATATCTCAGAAATTCATACTCAGTCATTAGAGACATCACTACAGAAAACAGTTACTTGTTAACCTAAGAAACATTGAGTTACCATTACTAAAACTTACAAAGGTCAATACTGTTTCTTCATGGGAGAGTCATTTTAGTCTTGGCTTACTAAGCAAGGGATTCTTGTGGCCTAACAAATCAAGTAGTTACATGTTTTGAATCTTTTAGCAAAACAAGAGTGGAGATAATGCACCTGCTCACTGAGAGGGGAATTTCCTTGAAGGCAGCCTCACCCACACTCCACGAGCAGGTCCATCACCAGATCAAGCGGTCTGGGGAACTAGGTACAACATCTCACCGCCCCTGCACCTCTGGCCTGCACCCCAGTTCTGTATGCATAAATAAATTAATATTAAACAACAAAAAAAGGCCTGGGCAGCCCCCAGCTGGTTTTGAGGAGTCGTAACATGCCGACCCAGCCTCCGTACCTTGTGCACCCACTTCTGGGCAAGTGGCCTTTGGGCAAGTTAGTTCTCTAACAGTCTCCTTTTTCTCTTCTGTCAACTGGTGACAGAACCGATCTCAGAGGGCTGGGGTATGTGCAACAAAGGTAATAAAAGTGAAGCATTGTGCTCCAGGCTTGGCATACAAAAGCATTCCACAGGTGGCCAACACGGCTTCCTGCAGGTTCCAGCACAGTCCCTTCACTGAACAGCTAAAGGACAGGATTGTTTACTTGGGATCTGATGTGAGAGGTACCCCTGGAGTTTCACCGCATGGCTACTCTGTATTTGAGAAGTAAGATGAATGAGAATATGTT